ACATCTCAGGATGTTTCAAGTTACAGAACAAGGAAAAGAGGAAAGGTAACAAACAAGGTGAAAATTCTGCTAATGTTGCTCGTGATGATAGTTTCGATGATGCTCTTGTCGTTATTGCTGGATGTGCTGAGACCAATGATGAGTGGGTACTTGACACTGCATGTACTTTTCATATGTGCCCACATAGAGATTGGTTTACCACTTTTGATTCTACTACTGTTGTTGGTTCCGTTTTGGGTTTTGATAATTCACCATGCAAGATTGAAGGCATAGGTTCCATTCGAATCAAGATGTTTGATGGCATAATCGGAACTTTGATAGATGCCCAGTATATTCTGAAGATGAAGAGAAATCTTATTTATATGAGTGCCCTTGATGCAAAGGGGTACAAGTATTCAGGTGGAGATAGCATTTTGAAAAGTCACCAAAGGTTCCCTTATTGTGATGAAAGGTGACTTAAGTTTGACCAATGGTCTTTATTACCTTCGAGGTTCTACCGTTTCAGGTAACACTACTCTAGTTATTTCAAAGAATTCTGATTGTGATGTTGCTAACCTTTGGCATATGCGTCTTGGACATATGAGTGAACTTGGTTTAGCAGACTTAAATAAGAGAGGTCTTCTTGATGGATATGAACCTGGTAAATTGAAATTTTGTGAGCATTAGATCTTTGGCAAGCACAAGAGGGTGAAGTTCAACACTTCGACTCATACAACTGAAGGTATTCTTGATTATGTTCATGCTGATTTATGGGGACCATCTCGCAGAAAGTCACTAGGTGGTGCTAGTTACATGCTGACTATTATTGATGATTATTCGAGAAAAGTTTGGCCTTGTTTCTTGAAGCATAAATATGAAGCGTTCTCGATTTTTAAGGAGTGGAAGATTATGATTGAAAGGCAGACTAAAAACAAGGTAAAAATACTTCGCACTGATAATGGTATGGAATTTTGTTCTAAGCAATCTAAGAATTATTGCAAGTCTGAAGGCATTGTCACACATTACACCGTTCCCTATACTCCTCAACAAAACGGTGTTGCTGGGCATATGAACAGGATCATTATTTCTAGAGCCCGTTGCATGTTATCCAATGCAGGTTTGCATAGGCGTTTTTGGGCTGAGGCCGCTTCCACTGCTTGTTATCTCATTAACTGTTCACCATCTATTGCTCTTAATAAGAAAAGTCCAATTGAGGTATGGTTTGGTTCACCTGCTGATTATTCACAGTTGAGATTTTTTGGTTGCACTGCTTATGCTCATGTTGATAATGGAAAGTTGGAGCCTAGGGCTGTTAAGTGCATCTTTCGTTATAAATCTGGTGTTAAAGGTTTTAAATTGTGGAATCCTAAAACCCAGAAGGTTGTTATTAGCAGAAATGTTATCTTTAATGAATCTGCTATGTTACATGATGTTTCACCTAGTAATGTTCCTGTTGAGAGTTAACAGCAGCCTACTATTCAGCAGCCTACTGTTCAGGTGGAGCATGTTATCAATTCAGGTGATACATCTAATAAGGAAAATGTTGATGCACATGATGAACCTGTCATTCATGATGAACATGTCACTCCCACTCCAAATCAGCATATTATTTCACCTGGTTGGCATCTCACACGTGACAGAGTTAAGCGGGGTATTAATAAACCTGAAAGGTTAATTGAAGAGTGCAATATTGTTTCTTTTGCTTTATCTATTGCAGAGGAAACTAAAGGTAATGTTGAACCTTCTTCATATTCCGAGGCTATTTTTTATGGTGATAGTAATAAGTGGATGACAGCTATGCTTGATGAGATGGAATCACTTGAAAAGAATGGCACATGGGATTTAGACCTAGAGAGAAGAAACCTATTCGTTGCAAGTGGGTTTTCAAAAGTAAAGAAGGTGTTTCTCCTAATGATGAAACAATATATAAAGCAAGGTTAGTTGCTAAAGGTTACAGTCAGATTCCAGGTCTTGACTATAATGAAGTATTTTCTCCTGTTGTGAAGCATAACTCTATTCGCGTTTTACTCAATATTGTTGCCATGAGTGATTTGAGCTTGAACGATTGGATGTAAAAACTGCATTCTTACATGGAGAATTGGAAGAGGATATTTATATGGAACGACCTGAAGGTTTTGTTATTCCTGGAAAAGAAAAGTTTGTTTGTAAGTTAAAGAAATCTCTTTCTGGATTGAAGCAATCCCCTAGACAGTGGTACAAGATATTCGACACATTTATGCTCTCTCAAGGTTTCAAAAGGTCTAATTATGTTAATTGTGTTTATTTGAAAATTGTCAATGGTTCAACTATTTATTTGCTCCTTTATATTGATGATATGCTTATTGCCGCAAAGAGCATGTCAGATATTAATGAACTAAAGAAGCAATTGAGTAATGAATTTGAGATGAAGGATTTGGGTGCAGTAAAGAAAATACTTGGCATGGAGATATCCATAGATAGACTGTCTAGAAAACTATATCTAAGTCAGAAGGGATATATTGATAAAGTTCTTCGTCGTTTTAATATGCATAACACCAAGCGGGTGAGTACACCCTTAGTTGCACACTTCAAATTATCATCAGATATATGTCCTAAGTTAGATGTAGATATTGAGTACATGTCTAGAGTTCCCTATTCAAGTGCAGTTGGTTCACTTATGTATGCCATGGTTTGTTCTTGTCCTGATTTATCATATGCATTGAGTGTTGTCAATAGATACATGGCTAAGCATGGAAAAGAGCATTGGAAAGCAGTTCAGTGGATTTTCAGATACCCGTGAGGTACTTCTAATGCTTATTTACAGTTCGGGAAAACTAGAGATGGACTTGTTGGTTTTATTGATTCTGATTTTGCTGGTGATATGGATAAGAGAATATCGCTCACAGATTATGTTTTCACCATTGGTGGTTATGGTGTGAGTTGGAGAGTAATTTTGCAGTCTATTGTGACTTGTTCCACTACTGATGCCGAGTATATGGCTATTTCTGAGGCATGCAAAGAAGCTATCTGGTTGAGAGGTTTGTATATTGAGCTCTGTGGAGATTCATCTTGCCCTACCATTTATTCTGACGGCCAAAGTGACATATGTCTTACAAAGAATCCAATGTATCATGAGAGAACAGAGCACATTGATGTCAGATTTCACTATATTCGAGATGTTATTGCTGAATGCGATTTGAAGGTATGCAAGATAAGTATTCATGATAATCCTGCCGATATGATGACAAAGCCAGTTCCTTTTTCTTAGGGTACGCCAAAGGTGTACCATAGCTTTATTGAAGGGAGAAAATATGTACAAGAGAAGTTTAGTTGCTAGTCACAAGGTCACAAGTCGACCGTGACACCGCCTCCACTCCACTCCCATTACACTACGTACTACTCGACTACATGCGCCACTCCAGTCGCTACGGCCTTCTTCCAGTTATGCAGTTCCTGAAAGATAGCCTCAGTCACTCCGAAAACGTCTAACGTGCCACTCCTACCAAAGACCCTAGCGTTTCTTTGCTTCCACAGCAACCAACAGATTAACATGACAACCGTGTCGAAACTTTTCCTGCTCGTCTTGATCATCCGCTTCCTCGTCTCGCCCCACCAGCCTGTGATCTGGGATTGCGGCGTGGGGCATAGTGTTTGGTCAACTCCGATCCTGATGAAGCAAAGATACCACACGTGCCTAGCATACACACACTGTAGTAGAATGTGGTCCACCGTATCCTCGTCCTGGTCACAGAGGTAGCATGGGGATGTTGGTCTTGTAACCCGTGCCTAGTTCTCCTGTCCGAAGTCCAAAGACGATATTGCACCGCAAGCCACATGAAGATTCTACAGGATCGCGGTGCCCAACATTTCCAGATTGCCGCGAAGGAGTGGAACTGTATCCCTCCCATACATAGCATCTTATACGCCGAGGCAGCCGAGTAATTGCCGGACTCGTTCCAGGCCCAAAGCGGAGTGTCATCTAACTCCGAGTCCAACTGTACATCAATCAGAAACTCCCATAGCCGAATGAACTGTGTAAGAGCGTCAGTGTCAAGGTCCCCAGACTTAATTGGTATTTCTCACTAGTCCTATGGACTTTAACGCACAATGAGTTTATACTGATTTGGATGAAGTTGTTTATTTTCTTCGACTACTGGAGGAAATTTGGTTCAAGGTGGAGATTGTTAAATTGTGATCCAAATTCTACCGTATTGAACTAGACATGGTACAAACGGTGCGGGCCTTTGCATTGGTATTGACACGTATGAGTACAACTCGTTACTTGTCCTACAAGGACTCTTATGTGTTGCCCCTCCCATGTAGTTACTTGTCCTATAAGGACTCTTATGTGTTGCCCCTTCCATGTAGTCGCACCTAAAACGGTCTGTCATCTCGTGTTTGCACCTTCGTGCGTCCATGATTTTCTCCCGTGAGGGTTTGCACGTAAAATTCCGTGCGCCTCGTGTCTCGTTTATCAGGGAGGGAGTTGGGAATTGATATATGGAGAACATCTCTACCCGTCATAACTTAACCTGTCGTCGTCTCTCAGCTCGTCCGAATGAAATCCCACCAAACAAACAAGGGAATAAGCACACCTCTCAAATTCCCACATCTCAAACAAGGGATTGAAAATTAAATGTCACGTCCTATATCTAATCTCGTCACAACTCCCTCGTTCTCCTTCATAAAAGTTACCAAACACGAAGTCGTACTGCTGCAACTATGACAGTATGGCCCAAAATCCAAGACATTACAAAGCACATACATGCGACATTGCACTTCTTAACAAGTTGGATGTAAAGGAAAATAAAGTGTGGCTCGTGTTACAAGCCCCTTGCATAAATCACATACTCCCTCCGTCCGGAAATACTTGTCATTGAGATGGATGTATCTAGATGTATTTTAGTTGTAGATACATCCATTTTCATTCATTTTGATGACAAGTATTTCCGTACGGAGGGAGTACTAAAAAAAGTACATCCGAATCTAAAATGTTAATATGTCTATTTATAAGGGCACAAAGACGATATGTTTTAGAATCGTCACAGATACAGTTCACGCCAGGGTTCTTGAATGCTCGCTGATTTCTCAACCCCTGTCTCAATGACAGTTTCTTTGGAGAACTCCAAGTTGATGTGCTTGGCTACGTGATCTCCCACGCACTGCAGCACCTGGAAGTAACAATAGGCAGAGAGATTAGGTGAGCAAACAGGCACTGGAATCACAGGTATGTTGATAAAGTCAACTTGTATAGAAAATTGTCAGGGGGGTAGCACAAACAAACTAAATTGCCCTAAGACGAGTTCTTTCACAGCAAACAAGCGCTTTTTGGTATACAATTTTCTATTCAATATGGGTGGTGTGCATTGTGGTTTGTGAATTATTGCTCCACAGAAATATCATGGAATTCAAATTCTTGTACTATTATAATACCACATATAAAACTAATAAACAAACCATTAGTTGACATTAGAGTAAACCTTCACAAACATCACTACACTCTTGCTTTCTATTTGGAAACAAGAGGACATCAGGACTTTTCCTACTCAGTATACAACTTTTATATAGTTCAGCAGGTTCCAACATTAATGGTAGCTTCAAGGTAGCAGACCACATGTAAGCTTTTCACGATTGCAACCTAGTATGAAGTACTACCTCCGTCCGGAAATACTTGTCATCAAAATGAATAAAAGGGGATGTATCTAGATGTATATTAGTTCTAGATACATCTCTTTTTATCCATTTTGATGACAAGTATTTTCGGACGGAGGGAGTAGCTCTTAAATTTGCCACTAAAATTACCATAGCAATTTCCCGTTTCCTTTATTCTGTATGAAGTACCATTACTTTCCATGAAACTCCAGTAAAAGATAATGAGAACATACAAAAATGGAAAGGGAAGTTGTACCTCAAGGTCAGAGTCTGAAGAACTTTTGCCTTGGTGCTGCCCACCTGATGTGACAAGAAGAACTGTGGGTATCTTCAATACCCGCACTATTTCCAGCAAGCATTGTATTGGTTCACTACGTATTTGCAAAGATGGCCGAGGTTTAATAGTTCCGTCAACCAACAAGTGAGTAAACTCATTTGATGCCCCTATTTCAGCAGCATGAAGTGTAGTTAACTGCCCAGTTTTTGTTGCATTAACCATTCCATGGAAGCAGCCTGATGGTCTTGTGATGAATGGTACAATCAGAACTGGCTGGATGGAGGGAGCTTCAGAAGAAATCAATGCTAAAATCTCATTCATAGCACATGCAGCAACAGGAGGCCTATAGTCAGGCAGAACAAAAAACGACACCTGCCAAAAATTAACAGGTTAGCTTGGAGGTGGCATCCATAAGCAGCTGTTTAAAATTCGATTTTAGTTGCAAGGAATAATGTTCCATGTCATAAAAAATAGGCCAAAAATATATTCAATTCTTCATTAGCAAATGATCATCAAAGATTTGAAAGCCAATAAAAAGCCTTTTCCGTAGGCAATGGAATACCACAAGTTGTTCCATTATTAGCATGAACTTACAGTGATAGTCAAATGGTATATGCTAATTTTGAGCATTACATCCATGAAAAGAAGGGGAGCCCTGGCGCAGCGGTAAAGTGAATCTTGCAGAAATGCAGGAAAAGGCTGCATACAAAAGATCTGAAGTGGTCGGACCCTTCCCCGGACCCTGCGCAAGCAGGACCTACATGCACCGGGCTGCCATTTTTTACATCCATGAAAACAGAACTCTGTGCTAAATCATACTCTGAACTAATGTATCAAAGTGAAGTCATGGAAGTAAGGACATGGCCAGGGACAGAGCACAGCAACAAGTTGCTAAGGTTGCGGCAATGAAAGCATATGCTGGACCTAAAGAAGAATGACACTCCACTCCAGACACTTAGATACAATCGCACGATCAAAATCATACTCTGTTTCTCAGCAGCTAAGAACAATCCCTAGCAGACCCCTCAAACCGCGGAACTGAAAACTTCGCGGAAAACGCGTTTTAAGGGTCGGTTTGAGCTGCGGCCGAACAGACCCCTCAAACTTAAACTGTAAAACCGAATATTCGCTTGTATTTTTCCCCATGTCTTCTTCTTCCCCTCGCCCGTGTCCACGGTCAGCTAGCTCGCTCCCACAAAGCCTGCGGACAGTGCATAAAAGGGCCAAATACGGAGCCGCCCAGGACGGCTCGCACGAAGCTAGCTAGCTCAAATCAATCCAAACGGCCAAATACGGAGCCGTCGCCGCCGTAGCTAGCTAGCTAATCGATTCGAGCGGACGGAATCGCCGTAGCTAGCTCCTCCGTCGGGACAGACGCGGGCGGGCGGGTGGTGTTCGGGGCGGCGCGGACGGGTCATGAAGATGTTTCCGTAGCAGTTGGGCTCCCGCCAACTGCTTTCTCCCGATACAGGGCACCGTAGAAGTGGACATGGAAACTGTGTTTTTGCAGATCAGGAGGAGTTCACCGCACCCCTTAAAAAAATTAAAGGTCGAAGGTATATAAAGTGTCTGTTCGGACTACTTCTTCCATCCAAAACTGAAAACTGGCGGTTATTTTTCAGTTCGGTGGGATATAAGGGGTCTGCTAGAGATGCTCTAAGTTTTCTCTGTCTCCAAATTACACTCACTGGCTCAGTAGATCAGCCCACCAAACACTTGAAGATGACATAACTTCCCAAGTTTCTGAACCCAACTGCTAAACATTGTTCAACAGTTCAACAACTTGCAAAATTACAGTGTCTACATTACCACATAAATCATCTTTCAGTTGAACTGGCCTTGGCCTGAAATATCTAACTGAAATCATGCGATCTCCTATCCGATAGCTCAAAGGGGAGGAGCTGATCTCCCAACAAATGTTTGTTCAAGGAAGCGTAGTCCTTTTATTCCAACATAAAAGGCTTTCCGTTTGGTTATATGTAGTTTTGTAGCAAACGAATTGGATCTGTGAGATGGCGAGAAAACCCGCTTACCTGAGGAGAGCCACTGGAGTCAGAGAAGCTAACGAGCTCGCCGGAGGCCTTTTCGCCGTTGAGGCCGTACTTATCGAGAGGGAGATCGAAGGGCGAGGAAACCCTGCAAGAACATCCACCGATCAAGGGTAAGCTGACAGAAGGTGCACGTTTTTGGATGGTTTAGGTTAGGGTTTTGCGGGGCAACGGGACCTCGTGAGCCCCGGCGACGGCCGGAGCGCGTCAGCGAGGGCTGCGCCGTAGCCCGCGGCGTCTCGGACGAGGACGACCACCCTGGAGGCTACCCGCATGGCCGCCAGAGATAATCGATGGGACGGGGAGGAGTGAAGAAGGCTTCCTGGAGTCGAGTTTTTCTTCCTCAAAGAAGCAACTCTGCAATCGACTCAGGGAAGAAGCAAAGCTATACAAGATCGATTTGGGCCTTAGGTGAAACAAAAACGATCAATTTAGGCCTAAGTATTTCATGGGCCGTCGGTACCAAATCAACGACCTGGATTACCTAATTCGGGAGGAGGATACAACCCAGGTGACATCTACAACACCAGGCAGAAACCCTATTGTGAAGAGGAGGAAGCAAGATGGTAGGCGTCAGGATGAAGGTGAGGAACTTGATGATAAGGCGGCCTCCCACGAGGAGGACCGCCGAGCCCAATGAAACTTTTGTGCTGGAACTGCCGCGGGATTGGCGACTCCGCGACGGTTAAAGAGCTTCGCGATCTCGTGGAGGCATGTGCGCCGACGGTGTTGTGTATTGTGGAGACGCAGTTGGCAAAACACCGTGTGGAAGGATTGGCGGGTACTTTGGGGTTTTCGGGACGCTTTGGAGTAGATAGTAGTGGTAGGAGTAGAGGTTTATGCTTGTTCTGGAAAAATAATGTTGATCTTGATATAAAGACTTTTTCTCGCTATCATATTGATTCAGTGGTGAAAATGCCGGAAGTGGATCCATGGCGTTTGTCTTGTTTTTATGGTGCAGCAGATAGGAGTATGAGGTACAAGACATGGGATACTATGAAAATATTATGTGGGGAGAATGCACTACATGGATATGCATGGGAGATTTTAATGAAATTTTGAGGCCAGAAGAGCAAATGGGGCCAAATGAGCGTGATAGTGCTCAGATAGAAGGATTCAAAGAAGCAGTTGATGTATGTGAGTTAGCGGACCTTGGCTACAAAGGATTGGATTGGACTTGAGAAGAGAATTGTGGGAGGAGATTACTGCAGGGTAAGACTTGATCGCGTGTTGGCTACGGCCAGCTGGTCAGCGTTATTCCCGTACGCTACGGTTGAACATCTAACTGCAGCAAAGTCAGATCATAGCCCAATATTATTGATCAATGAGATGGAGGCAAGTAATCAGAGAATTGCCCTCAAGAGGCCTTTCCGTTATGAATGCATGTGGGAGAGCGATGACAGGTTCGGAGATACACTTCCGGAGGCATGGGGTCGGGATTAGCCGGCGGAAACAATGGCGCAGTTTGCGGCCAAGTTATCCTCGGTTGGGAATGCTCTAAAACAATGGGGCAAGCTGTCGTTTGGCTCAGTTAGATAGGAGTTGCGCAGGCTACGGCAACAGTTGACTCTGCTTAGAGAGGACCCGACTCGTGTTGGGCCGGGAGTGGAAGAGAAAAAGGGTCTTGGACCAGATTGTTGAGCTGTCCTTTCGAGAGGAGATTATGATGAGATAGAGATCACGCATGGACTGATTATCTGCGGGGGACAGCAATACGCAATACTTTCAGAGAAAAGCGAGTGCTAGAAGGGCAAAGAACACCATAACATAGCTCCAGAAGATAGATGGGACAATCACTTCTGATCCCGAGGAGATGGCCGAGATGATGAATGAGTTTTATGAGAACTTGTACAAATCAGAAGGATGTATAGGCATAGAAGAGGTTCTGTCACATATTCCGGTAAGGGTTGATGGTAACATGAATGCAAGGCTCAATGCGCAGTATACAAAAGATGAGGTTAAAGAGGCACTTTTTCAGATGTTCCCAACAAAAGCACCGGGACCTGATGGTTTTCCGGCGCATTTTTTTCAGAGACATTGGGAACTATGTGGTGATGAGGTAACTGGCATAATTATAAGATTGCTCAATGGAGAGGACTCACCAGAGGATATCAACCGCACGTTCATCGTTCTTATTCCCAAGATAGCTAGTCCAAAACTTTTAGCACAATTTCGGCCAATAAGTCTTTGCAACGTGATCTACAAGATTGCGTCAAAGGTCTTAGCCAACATGCTGAAGATTATTCTCCCCGAGGTAATTTCTGAGGAGCAGTCCGCTTTTGTGCCTAGGCTGTTGGAAATATGCCCTAGAGGCAATAATAAAATGGTTATTATTATACTTCCTTGTTCATGATAATTGTCTATTGTTCATGATATAATTGCATTAACTGGAAACCGTAATACATGTGTGAATACATAGACCACAACATGTCCCTAGTGAGCCTCTAGTTGACTAGCTCGTTGATCAATAGATGGTTATGGTTTCCTGACCATGGACATAGGACGTCATTGATAACGGGATCACATCATTAGGAGAATGATGTGATGGACAAGACCCAATCCTAAGCATAGCACAAGATCGTATAGTTCGTTTGCTAAGAGCTTTTCTAATGTCAAGTATCATTTCCTTAGACCATGAGATCGTGCAACTCCCGGATACCGTAGGAATGCTTTGGGTGTACCAAACGTCACAACGTAACTGGGTGGCTATAAAGGTGCACTACAAGTATCTCCAAAAGTGTGTGTTGGGTTGGCACGAATCAAGACTGGGATTTGTCACTCCGTATGACGGAGAGGTATCTCTGGGCCCACTCGGTAATGCATCATCATAATGAGCTCAATGTGACTAAGTAGTTAGTCAAGGGATCATGCATTACGGAACGAGTAAAGTGACTTGCCGGTAACGAGATTGAACGAGGTATTGGGATACCGAAGATCGAATCTCGGGCAAGTAACATACTGATTGACAAAGGGAATTGTATACGGGATTGCTTGAATCCCCGACATCGCGGTTCATCCGATGAGATCATCGTGGAACATGTGGGAGCCAACATGGGTATCCAGATCCCGCTGTTGGTTATTGGTCGGAGAACGTCTCGGTCATGTCTGCATGGTTCCCGAACCCATAGGGTCTACACACTTAAGGTTCGGTGATGCTAGAGTTGTTATGGGAAATAGTATGTGGTTACCAAAGGTAGTTCAGAGTCCCGGATATGATCCTGGACATCACGAGTAGTTCCGGAATGGTCCGGCGGTGAAGGTCGATATATTGGACGAAGGGTATTGGAGTCCGGAAGTGTTCCGGGGGTACCAGGCTATGGCCAGCATGACCGAAAGGTGTTTCGGGAGCCCCGACAAGTGTTGGAGGGCCTCATGGGCCAAAGGGGAAGGGGCAAACCAGCCCACTAAGGGGTGGTGCACCCCTCCCCCCCCCCCACACCCTTTCCCACATTATTAGGGGAGGTGGGGCGCCTCCATCTGGCTTGGGAGGCAATCCTCCACCTGCTTGGCTTGGGGGGCAAGTCTCCCTAGGATTTTCCCTAGGGAGATCCAATCTGCTTGGCCGCCGCCCCTAGGGGAAACCCTAGGGTGCCTCCCCCTCTCCCATTGCCCCTATATATAGTGGAGGGGTGGGAGGGCAGCCGCACCTCTTCCCTGGCGCAACCCTCCCTCCTCCTACACCTCCTCCTCCATAGTGCTTGGCGAAGCCCTGCTGGAGAACCACGAGCTCCACCACCACCACGCCGTCGTGCTGTTGGACTTCTCCCTCAACTTCTCCTCTCCCCTTGTTGGATCAAGAAGGAGGAGACGTCCCCAGGCTGTACGTGTGTTGAACGCGGAGGCACCGTCCGTTCGGCGCTTAGATCGGAATCGACCGCGATTTGAATCGCTGCGTGTATGACTCCACCAACCGCATTCTTGTAACGCTTCCGCTTAGTGATCTTCAAGGGTATGAAGATGCACTCCCTCTCTCCCTATCTTGTTGCTAGAATCTCCATAGATTGATCTTGGTGATGCGTAGAAAATTTTGAATTATTGCTACGTTCCCCAACAGTGGCATCATGAGCTAGGTCTATTCCGTAGATTCTATGCACGAGTAGAACACAAGTTGTTGTGGGCGTCGATTTTGTCAATTTACTTGCCGTTACTAGTCTTATCTTGATTCGGCGGCATCGTGGGATGAAGCGGTCCGGACCGATCTTACACGTATGCTTACGTGAGACAGGTTCCATCGACTGACATGCACTAGTTGCATAAGGTGGCTAGCGGGTGTCTGTCTCTCCCACTTTAGTCGGATCGGATTCGATGAAAAGGGTCCTTATGAAGGGTAAATAGCAATTGGCATATCATGTTGTGGTTTTTGGCGTAGGTAAGAAACGTTCTTGCTAGAAACCTATAGCAGCCACGTAAAAACTTGCAACAACAATTAGAGGACGTCTAACTTGTTCTTGCAGCATATGCCGTGTGATGTGATATGGCCAAAAGGATGTGATGAATGATATATATGTGATGTATGAGATTGAGCATGTTCTTGTAATAGGAATCATGACTTGCATGTCGATGAGTATGACAACCGGCAGGAGCCATAGGAGTTGTCTTAATTTATTGTATGACCTGCGTGTCATTGAATAACGCCATGTAATTACTTTACTTTATTGCTAAACCGTTAGCCATAGTAGTAGAAGTAATAGTTGGTGAGACAACTTCATGAAGACACGATGATGGAGATCATGATGATGGAGATCATGGTGTCATGCCGGTGACGATGATGATCATGGCGCCCCGAAGATGGAGATCAAAAGGAGCAAAATGATATTGGCCATATCATGTCACTATTTGATTGCATGAGATGTTTATCATGTTTTTGCATCTTATTTGCTTAGAACGACGGTAGCATAAATAAGATGATCCCTCATAAAATTTCAAGAAAGTGTTCCCCCTAACTATGCACCGTTGTGAAGGTTCGTTGTTTTGAAGCACCACGTGATGATCGGGTGTGATAGATTCTAACGTTCGCATACAACGGGTGTAAGCCAGATTTACACATGCAAAACACTTAGGTTGACTTGAAGAGCCTAGCATGTACAGACATGGCCTCTGAACACAAGAGACCGAAAGGTCGAACATGAGTCGTATAGCAGATGTGATCAACATGAAGATGTTCACCGATGATGACTAGTCCATCTCACGTGATGATCGGACACGATCTAGTTGACTCGGATCATGTATCACTTAGATGACTAGAGGGATGTCTATCTAAGTGGGAGTTCATTAA